ACAAAGAAACATAGAGAAAAGTATCTATTTTTGCTACACCCTCACAAGGTTTTTTCCAAGTATCTGCTGAAGCCAAGAAAAGTTCATGCTATCTGCTGAATTTTATTTTGGAGCACACAGCTTATTCTCTTTACATTTTGTTTTCACATCTCTAGAATCAGGATAAATAAATTAAGAACATTTTTTGTTTTAACAGAGAGCTGTCTTTAACGTTTGGAGAAAGTTGTTTCTCTCAGAAGCATCTATTGCTGTTTTCCAGGATTCTTTTTGGTGGTGGTTTCTTCAGCAATTTAAGGTATAAATTAATGTTAAATATTCTTATCCATGTTAAATATTCTCATCTGTTCTGTTCAAATGAACAAAATGGAAATTCTTGGCTGTACAGAGGTGTGTGATTCTATTCTCATGGGAGAGATTGAATAGAGTCTTCAACAGCCATGGGTGGGGAGGGGGTTGTCTGGGAGTAAGCAGGCTGGGGGGTTAAAAATAGCCCAGTTGGCGGGCAGGGCAGAAGTAGGAAGAGCACAGCTCCAGGTCTGTAATGAGCAGCTGGGCTTCCTCAACCCCAGGGCTGCACTTCAAACTTGTAGAGACATTAGTTAGGTTGGGCTAACTCATTCCCGATATAACTTAGTTCATATCCTGAGGTTAACTAATTCAGATTGGGCCAACCATATTTTTGCCCAATCTAGCCCCCACCCCCCACCCCCAATGTCTATAAAAATCAGCCCTTTGATTGACCTAATCCTAGTTAGGTTGATCTAAGTGTAATGTCTGCACATGCCCTGTAACTTTAACTCAAAAAATCAATAGGTACCTCGTTGAAAAATAGATAAGGTGTTTATATATTACAGGGCTGTTGTTCTGGTCATTGGTCATGATTTGGTGTAGCATTTAAGCAAATGTGGGACTGACGCTATAACAGAATGTGAAATGGTTACAGTTTTGCTTCTTGTATTAGCAAATCAATGCTACAAGAAATTTGTAAGGCTTAATTCAGCCTGGTATGTTAACTCCTGTGAGTAATCACGCTACTTGTGTTTAAGTAAGCTGCAGAATAATAGTCTAAATTTCACATATCATTGTATTAACCCATAATATGCTTTTGATTTTATGTTGAAACACTTTTTTCCAATTTTCTTTTCCTTTTAAGACTAACCAGGAAGATCAAGACCACTTATTTGACAGAATTGCAGGCAGTTTTGTGGGACTTTTCCTGTGCGTTCCCAGGAATACAAAAGATGCATTTTTTCAGGTAGCAGTACAGTGGTTTAGGATTTCAAGTTTTTAGGATCTTGTCTTTCCTCTTCCAAATACTATGCTCAAATGTATTACCTGCATGGAAATTAGATAGTTAAAAGGGGAAGGTATACAGAGACAGCATCCTTTACTTAGATATCTACAAAAATTGCTCTGCTTAAAACTGCATTGTATAGCCAAACAAAAGAAAGAGAAATGAGGGCAAAGCTGGTACTTGAGTAACATTTTCACAATGCATGTAACTTTGGAGTAGAGCTGGTAAGAAACTTTCTTGTTGAAAGTTTTGTTGAAAATGAAAGTTCCTCGAGTCTGAAATATTTAATTTGAAACATCTTAGATACAATTAACTTTTATAACTAAAACCAAGTGAGAGTTCTGAGAAAACTGCCTAGGTTCCTGGAAGGTCTCCCCTGGAGTTGAAGATGTTGGAAACAGTGGGGAGACATGTCTTCTGGGGCTTATCCTGAGTTAGGGACCCTAGGAAGTGAGAGTTCCCAGCCCCAAGGCATTTCACAGCCATAGTCACCTATGAGATGTGCCCCTGGGTTTATTCTGAGGCTGGAGACCTTGAGGATCCCTTTCAGCTGTCCAGGAAAGTAGAAGTTCTTGTCTTCTATTAACAGTACAACTGACAAGAATGTTAGTTTCATTGAGCAGCTGTAAAGTCTGGGGAACACATGGTTTACTGAAAATTGAAAAAACAAAAGAAAAGTTTGAGGTTTTATTTATATTGAAGCCATATTCCAGAAGGGACAAATACATTTCCTGGAAACTAGAAATCTTCATTGTTAGCCAGCTCTACTTAAGAACATAAGCCTTATTGAAAGACATTGAGACTTAGGTACCCATCTTTCTTTTGAAAGTGGGACCTAGGCTGCTCGGTTACTTAAGCTTGGATCCATAAAGATGATTAGGCATCTAACTGCTATTTTGATACTTAAAGTCCCACTGACATCAATGGAATTGTTATTTTAAATGGAGTATAATTATCTAAAATACCTTTTGTAGATCTGGCCTTTTTAAATATGTCACTATGTAGCACCCTGACAGTGAAAGTTGCAATTCAGACTTCCACTGTATTGCATGTAAGTTAACGGTAACATAACCATCTCTTCCATGAAGGTTCATAGATGACCTTTAACTCAAGAAGGGAGGGTTGAATCTTATCTTGGGATATGGTCAATTAATTTCTGTAAGGCACTTTGTGATTCTAATGAGACATATATACATATACTGTCTTCTTAATAATGCAGCTATGTAGAAAATGTTGTAAATTTATGTGAGGTGTTCAGAAACTCTTGTGATGAGTACCAGAGAAAAACTAGTAAATAAGGATGTCTTGCTACTTCTGTTAGAAGTTCTGAGTCTGCCTTGAGAAGCTATGCCCCTTGGAACTTACTCCTAGGTTGTGAGTCCCTTTTAAGCTGTTAACAAGCAGTTATCTTACCTTTTCTTAAACAAACAATAATTTATATTTGAGATTCTATACCAGTATTTTAAGGATGATTTTCAGTGGTACAAATGGCACTTAGGCATTTAATTCTCATAAGGTTCTGCAGAAATTAGACACCCTGTATTTGTGCTTCTTGAAAATCATTCCTTTAGTTAAGTTACTCAGCAATTTTAAAAAATGTAATAATAATTAAAAAGGTTTCTTAGACTTATTCTGTCAGCTTTCCCTCCTTTCTTTGGGAACTCTTTAGCTACGCAGTCATACAGACCATCAGAGGAAACCTAGCTATCAGGCCAAAAAAGAGCAGAAATCCAAAATATCTTGTTCTGGTGGGATCCATTGACCTACAAACCACATTGAAGAACTAGAAATAGAGAGATTAATGTAAATAACTGTCAGTGTTGTAAGGTGTATTATGTGACAAACAACCACATCCTTTAGACCAGAATCATCATATGTCCTCAGATTTTAAGTTCAGACTAATGTGTAGTAGAGATGGCGTTTTAGATGTAATTGATATAGTGATGGATACCAAAATTATAGAAAACCAAGGGCCTGGACTCTTTATTTCCTTATTAATATTATCTGAATAGATTTAATTTTTGAGCTTTATAGAAATGTGGACATAATCCACAAGTATGTGGATGCTGTGGCAGAATGCCACCTTTGTCTCTCCCCAAAACTCTGCTATGTGACAATTTGGTTAACATAGTCCCTGCAGAGGGCAGACATCCCATCTCTTTAGGTAACCTGAGTTGGATACATTCCTGAGGGAGGGGGAAAACCTGCTCCCTCTGCCTAAGTGACTGGCATCACATACCTGGGTGAGGGGCTTATGGTTCCTTATTGTTCTAAGCAATGCCAGCCTGACTGAGAGGGGGAGCTAAAGACCCTGCCAGTCTATCCGGCAACCAGTGGTGCATTTCAAATTGGTTGGCTGGCAGCCAACAGGTGCTGGTCTCCATTGGACCAGGTAAATGAGGTCATAAGGTCTATATAAGTTAAAGACCGCCCAAGAGGAAGAGCAGTAGCCATGATGAAAACTCAGAGAGAGAAAAGCTAGACCGTCTGAGACTTGCTGTCTCGCTTGAAACTCATAATCAATGAAGTGCCTGTCTCCAGAGGGAATCTCCACCTGCCTCTGGATGATATTTATGAGTAAGCTACCTGAGATCTAACTAGATATATAGCTTTCAGTAACTCAGATGCGTGATCAAAGGCTACCCAGACACCCTTTTTGCTCTATGGGATTTCTCTGATATTGTTCTAACGTGTACCCTATTTCAAACCTACTCCTTGTAATCAATAAAGTTCTCCTTTGTACCTAGCATGGGAGACTTGTTGGGAGTGGGTCTAGATTATGCCTTGGGGTCCCCTTGGTTCGGCTGACTAAGGGAGACCACTATTTGTGCTTCAGACTGAGGGAAACACCCCAAGTTCTTGAAGTGGGTTGAGTACCCTCAAGGGCTACTGGGCCTGTGTTTCCCAGCGGGCACAGAGCCAGGATCACTTCAGACCCTGGGTGGTGGTGGTGTTACCCCCACGCTAGCAGGTATGCTCCAGGAAGGGGGTCGGCGAGACATGAGGCACTCCCAGGGAGCCTGGAGCGTGGTTGGGCACAGTGAGGTTGGTGGCTCAGCTCAGGAGCACCCCTTACTGGCCCACCACAGTTGCATACATCTAGCCCACAGCATTTTAGCTAGAGAAAACGAGTTGTGTGTGACCATGTGAGAGAGAGAGAGGAGCAAGAACATGCTGATTCTAGAAAAAATGTTGGAATGGCTTATGTTCAATATGAACTTAATATTTGGCTCACAGCAGATGACCAATGAAATGTAATGCTACAATAAACAGGGCAGAATTCTTCAAAATGCTTACTTTTCATTACATATGGTGATTACTTAAATCTTAAATAATTTTTATTTCATAAACTGCATTTTAGCCCAGAATTAATCATTTAAAAAAAAAGAGTGTAGAATCGTCACCTTCCAATGCTTCATCTAGCTGTCAACTCTGATGTTTACTCCTGTTTATCGAGGTATTGAGCTACTAGACCTGCTGTTATGTTTGATATAGTTGTTTTAATCTTTCCCACAAGTAATGAAAGCTCCAACTACTTTGAATGCAGCAGTTCAGTGATTGGTACTTTTCATTTGAGTATACTTTATGAAAAAACAGTTTGTACTACATTAACTTTAGTATGGAAGGAGTTTGGGTAAGCTTATTATATTAACTGTAATATTTATTTTGGCAGGTGTACCCTGATTGTTTGTCACAAGTCATTTATGTTGCTTTCTGTGAAGCATTTCCAGAATCCACTACGTATTTTGATGATGAGTTCAAGGATAGACTAGTAGATCTAATCTTTCAGTGGGTATCAGGTACTGTTAATTAATTGACATATTTAAAGTGTACTATAGTAAGTCTTCCAGATATTAGCATTTCAGTATAGCTTTCCTTCATTAAGACTATAGGTAGTATTTAATAATAGTAAGAATTGCTCTATTAGACTTGCTATTCTCAAAGCTTTCTCATCTAAAGTGTCACTATCACAAATTCCAACAGCTGGCTTATGTAGGGTTTTGGGAATTGAAAACAATTGGTAGTAGATCAGAAAGCAAATGCAGAGACTCTGAGCTGAGTGTTCATCTTCCCTCTGGAACATATTTTCTTACTTATTTAGAAAAAGATAAAACGAGACCTGACATATTTCAAAATGCTTAGGAAAAGGGTATAAAGTTCTTCACAAGCATTAACTGTTAACTATTCTTTACAACCCTCTCAACCAATCTGTTTACTCTCTCTGATTTTCTAATTGTACTGCTTCTCATACTGCATACATAGCAATCTAACTGGGCTTTCGTGTTTTTTCTTTAGTAATATTAGTTAAAGCATAATGTCCATCCTCTGATGTTTGTGTCTTGCTGTACCGGGAAATATTAGACAGTCTTGATTCCTCTAGCTTTTCCCAGCTCTCATATTTATTAACTCCATTATTTTACTGCTACTTTTAGCTCAGTACCTTTTACTTTTAAGCGTTAGCCAGTTAGATTTGGTAAAGCCTGTCTAGAACTATTGGGTTTGTTCATTTTTTAAATTGTAAATTCATCCATCGTAACTTTTCATATGAAATATTACTCCATATTTAATAGTACTATAAGATACCTCAGCACTATAAAGTATTCTGGAATATGAGTTGTTGTGAATGGGTCTTCCTTTAGAAATGAATTTATTTTGCCTGATACCTGAACGTAAGACTGATTAAAAACATTTTTCAAGCTATTATCTCTAATCTAATCATTAGAAGGCATTAGCTGAAAAAATATTTAAGCTTTTGGAATTAGCCAGCAAGGATCTGAGAATCTCCAGGGATTCATACTAGTAGTGCTGTAGGTGTAAACTGCTGTTTGCAAAACTCAGCTTGTTGATTCTTTCTTGTGATTGTATGGGAATATTCTGGAAGAACCTGTGTTGAGCACAGTAGTGCAATTAACATGCAAAATCTAGCATTTCTGCTATGAATAAATGAGAAGGTGTCATGTGATTACAGAGAAAGGAAGCAGCAAGAGACAGGCCAAGAATGTCTACTGGAAGGGAGCTTTAGAGTATCTTCCCTTCCAGTTAAACATGAGTGTGTTGTAAAAGGACTTGGAACTAAAACTAGTATTCACTTCTGAAGTAGCAATGAGACTATTTTTATGAGAATTATTGCAGGGATCCAGCTTTAGTTGCCATTTTAGAACTTCTTTGGCAGAAGAAGTTTGATTTTACTGTTTTAAAGTTTGATCTACATGATTTACCAAATAATAATAATAACGGGTGCATCTAGATACGTGATTAATGTGCATGAATAAACTCCAGAGCTTACTGCTCCAGAATTTTTTGTTCCTGAGTGTGCTCTTTGAATATGTGCCACAGAGCAAAAAAACTTTGAAGAATATTGCTCCGGAGTTTATTTGTGCACAGCACGTGGAGCCCAGTCAGAGCACCCCAGGGCCACTCCAACCAGGCTCTGTGTGTTGTGAAGGGGCTGGCTGAGGCACAAGGGTGCTTCAGTGCAGGGCTAGCCGACAGGCAGCCCAACATTAACTAGTTGGGAATAAGCAGGCATTATGACCCCTATATGGGTCATGCTGAATAAATGCAAGGATGTACTCTGTAACATATAATTACTATGAATAGGTAGTGGGCAGAGTTATCAGGTTTTAGAATAATTACCAAAAAGAAATAGGATACCACTGCTGTGGAACAGATTCCATATCATTCTGGAAGAACAGAAACTTCTGTGTTAGAAGCAGCAAAAATTCTACTGGAACGGAAGTTCAAGACCACAAAATAAGGCAAAATTGTGCACAGCTGCCAAAATAATTCACAGCCTTGACAAAATACAAAGCCTTTGCAATGAAAGAATGTCAAATTACTAGAATTGGAACAACCACAAAATAGAGATTTCTCCTTTCATAAAATATTAATCAAGAAGTTCCTGCTTAAAACCAACTGGAAGGAAAAAGGAAGATAACAAATATAGTCCATTTAGGTAATACCAATGTAGATGAAAATTAAACCAAAGATAGTAATATGAGCATTCACAGTCCCTATGTGAGGAAAAAGAAGCACTGTTTAAAAAATAATAATAATAACCTTTCAGTAAGAGCCTAACTTCAGCTTCCCAAGAATTTATTTATATTGGTCATGCATTACCAATTATAGTATTTTTTAAAGAAAGTTTTTAAAAATCTGTGTTTTTAAAATGCTGATGAGAAACTGACACCACTATTAATTCTACTGCAATTAGTGAAATGCATGAGGATGAATATTGTGCAGTGAGAACATAATTGCTGAAAATCAGAATACTTTGGCAGTTTCCTTGGAAGCATCTCATGTGATACAAGAAAAGAAATAAATATTGTTAGCCCAAACATTAATGTAAATTATTAATCTCTATTAATTGTATAAACATGAATAATAATCCAAACAAAATATAAATTATGGCCTTGAACCTACACATTCTTTTGCCCATGTGTAATATTAAGCGTGTAGGTAATCCTGTTGAAGGTAGCCAGACTACTCATGCTTAATTTTAGGCACAAGACTTGAGGCCTGGAAAGGAAATTAAAAAGTAATAACTTTATTTTGAAAGAGACATAGTTAGCCTTGTTAGCGTGAAGTTGGGCAGAAAGCCTACTGGGCGACACCTTGTAAACTAACATGTTTGGAGAGGCATGGGCTTTTGTGGGTGACAGCCTACTTTGTCTGATACTAAGAATGGACTGATAATGAGATAGTTTTCAAGGTTATAACTCTACACAGTTAAGAGGTACTACTTTACCCTACGTATATTTGGAAAGATGCCATGCTTGGTACAGGGCAGTTTTCAAAAGTAACACCAATATTCTGTGTTTTTCTAAAGTTACCTTCTCCTTTTTAGGTCTAAAACCAAAGAAATTTGTTTGGAAAAAATGGAATCTAGATTGCCTGAAGAAGACCACAGTAAATGGTAATGAGAAAGATACTATTACCAGGTCAACAGTTAAAGACTCTATCAAATCTAAACCAGTCGTTCAAGGTTGTAAGTATTTTTAAATATACGAGATGTATTACAGATGAGTGTCAGAATGGCACATGCACTATTCTTTGCAAAACTGTATGTAATTGCCAAAATAAGTCATTTTCCATAGTTCTAGTTTATTTTGTAATGGGCATCAGACTGAAAACATAATAACTAGGAATGTTTGAATCTTGTATTAGGCTTGACTCGAAGCATGCATTGTGCTATTTTGCTGATATTTGCATTTAGTTAAATCTGTAAAGAAAAAAAAAAGAATATAAATGTCAAATACTTAAAATAGCTGCAAGTATTTAGGCCCCGTCCCTCCCTTGTATGGATTCCTTAGCTCCTCTCCTAGTAGTGAAAGCCTGCTTTTTTTCATTTCTTCCCCAAAAACATATGTCCCCTTACTTCTGCCTGCAGCCTGGCTCCTTCCTTTCTCTACTTCTACTATTGTTAGCGTCTCTTCGTCTCCGCCTTGGTGTGTATACCTTTTCATTACTCTTAATACTAGTATGCCTTTCTTGATTCTTTGTACTGCCTATGACTTTGCCTCAAGCACTTCTCTTGGTGCCAGCATGTCCTGTTAGTCCATCTCATTTACTTGCTCCCTTTCTTTGCTTCTGATTCCACTTCCTTGTGCTGCACAGTAGCTAGCTTCTTCCCTTCACCTCATTAACATATGCCTAAGCCTGTGCGTGCTTCTTCTTAATAACTGATGCTGTCTCCCTCCTTTTTAACCCTCTTTGTACCAGGATCCATTTGTAAACATCGATGGCCAGTCCCAACCCAGTCCCCCTTACTCTTGACTTGCTGTCTGTTGCCCCCCACCCCATGCCCCAGCTCCCCAGTGTGTAGTACCGGGGGAGAAGAAGCAGGGGGCAAGCAGCCTGTTCCAAGCAGGAACTCTGTCAGCCTGTGAGGGAAAAGCCATGGTTTCCCACCTTTTTCTCCTTTAAAGGTAAATACATTTTTCAAGTTTGTTGATCCATTTTTAAAGGTTGTTTGTACCCCTTTCATATATTCTTGCAACCCTCCTTTGGGTCATGACCCACAGGTTGAGAAATACTTCTCTAATGCCAGCAGCTCTCTCCTCCCCTGACTTACGATCATGATTACATTACCATCTTCCATTCATCTCTCCCCAGTTTGTCTCCAGTGCCAAAATTACTTGCAATTTGCTGGCCACCCCAGCTCGGACTGCAGGCTGGGGCTGGAGTGAGTGCTGTAAAAGGTGCCCATTGCCATAGATATGACTGCGGTGGGGAGGGGAGGGCAGAGCTGAGCTGTCTAGCTCTGCCCAGCATGACTCATCTTGTAGTTAATATCAGTTATTGGGTTGGTATCGGCTGACATGGCTGGTTGATAATTGACTACTGGTATTGGCCAAGAAAATCTTTATCGGTACACCCCTATTTATAGCATTCCTGGTCTTTTTCCTTGTTTTAACTTTTGAAGTTCCTTTCATGTATGATAATTGAACAAAAAGAACCACAGTTGCATTTAGGAACATTGAAATTAGCATTGCCATCAAGCTTACAGTATAATTCACTTATATTACTTGGGTTGCAGTCTTGAGGGGATATTGTTGCCCTCAGAGTCTATTATTTGTATGCTGCTCATTTTTTTTCAATAACAGCCTTTAAAACAGGAATTTTATCTATGATTAAGGGCCATTGTCAAGGGGAACATTTCGGCTTTAAAAATAATATGGTTTTATAAAACCTAAAACCAGTGGAAACATTTACATGATTTTTGTACATTTCCATGATTTTGTTTTTATAGAGTCAGATTTCACTTACAACATCAGACTCAAGACATTGCAGCATTGTGCTAGTACATAAGAGCAAGAATGTTAAATTCAATAGAAAGAAGTATTTGTGGAGGAGATTAGGTAAATGCAGTCTGCATCCTGGGTAGTACCCTCTTTTTTTTATCAGAGCAGTATTGTTTATCTGCAGTAGTTTCTCATTAGGGATAGTGAAACCCTAGTTTTGCACTTCAAAAATAAGAGGATAATAAGTTTAGTTGTTCGGTGTGTGAGGTAGGTGATTCTCTTCTATCCCCATTAACTAAAATGGAAGGGTATTAATATTGTAGTCCATGCTTTAAATCTCCAATGTACCATCTACCATGTTGTTCTGGAGTCGCAGGAAGAAAATTCTATTAAAAAATCTGTGCTTCTCATTTATTGCACCTGAGAAGCTGTTGCATGGACAACTATCTCACTCAGCACTAATCAGGACCCCATCAAGATGGAGCAGATCTTGAGAGATGTAGAGTGTATGGAGGGACAGATGTTGAAAGGTAGTTACTTACCAAAAGCTGCAGGTAAGTCCCTCGTGGGATTTCCAGTTGCACCTAAGCAGGTGAAGTGACTACTTCCCACTGATTTTAATGGGACTTAGGTGACTAATGACACTGGAAAAAGTGCTTCTGACAGTGTCCCAAGTGAATATCTATATCCTGAGGGCCAAATTTTCAAAGATGTTTAGATACCTACAGACAGCTTTCTGGAATTTCAGGAGGGATTTAGTATTTTGGTAGTATCAGGTTCTTAGCCATCCATACTGGAACACAGCTATTTAAAAGTGAAAAGACAAGGCTTCAGAGGTGATATAGGTTCAAATATCAAGATATCCTTTCAGCACAAGTCAAAGGTACTGTAACTACCATCTGTGAAGTATATTCATCTCTATTTTTAAAGTCCTTTTAAAAAGAAAAGTCCTGTTTTTCAGTTCTCATTGAAGAAAATATTTGCTTTAATTCTCTCATCACCAAATTATTTCCTCTTATTTCAATTCTCTGTTCACTTGCACATGTTAAGTCAGCTTTTACATGTATGGAGCCTCTAAAATGAGTAAAAATATTTTCTTAATTAAATAAATGAATAGTAGTGAGTTAAAATCTGCTTTCCAAACAAAATCAAAAAAAATCTCCCTTTTTAGGTCTGGAATGTAAGCAGTTATAGAATTTCAGTATCTGGAATGCCTCAGGATTTACAAGCTTGCTTGCCTCAGCCAGTGTGTTATTGGATTATTTACAAGGCTGAAGTTTTTAATGCTTGATTTTCTTTATTCTGCTTGATTTTTTGCATATTTTAAAATCATTACTACAAAGTATAGTTACATTTTATAAAAATGCATAATCCTTTTTCCCAAAGTATTTTGAAGAGTCTTAGCTGTGTGACTCCTATTCACTTTAATGAGAGTCTCATGTTTTAAACCTCATGTAATTCTTTGAAAATTTACCCTTCAGAGTTTCTTTTCTTAAGTGTAGTTCTTCTCTGAAAAAAGACACTGTAAAAATAGTAAGTAGGGTTCCATGTTTATTGCCTCTCAAGGACTCCATCTCAAATGTGCTCTGTTTTCAAGTGCATAGATAACTTTTTTAACTGTTGCCCCTGAAAATCCCATCTGGATTGGAAAAACTCAGATGAATTCTTTCCCTCCATGAAATGACATCAGTCAATAAAGAAAGATAAAAGAATTCCTGAGTTCTGACCTCAGCTCTGACCAATGGCTGCCTCTCTTGCTTTGGGCAAATCACCTAACTTGTCACTCCTACTTTCTTCACTTCTGAAATGGGGATAGTTGGAGATTATTGAACACTGACTAATCATGCAGCAATCCAAGTGGCTGATACAGTTTCTGTAATGCTGCTCTAAATAGCTACATAGAATTAGGAGCAAAATTCTGCCATGCCACATATTTTGAAGGGCATGGAAAGTGGCCATTGTTATTATTAATCTCACATTTTCCATCTGTATATCCATACAAGCAAAACATGCATTTTACATAGGTGTGGAAAAAAATGCTCTGGACTGTAAACACAAAAGTGAAGTTTTAGGAAAAAACAACTTTAATATCATAAATATAATTTGGCTGGAAATTTGTCTCTTGGCATGGTCATGGAAAATTGGCATGCTGTGCAAAAAGTGATTTAAGACTACAGTTGTACTCACTATACATTGGACATTCAGTGATTTGCTCCAAAATGTAAATTATTTCTGTTTTCTGAGACTTGCATATGCTAGTTAAAGTTATAGTTGAGATGTCATGGAAACCATCATTACATCTTCCCTGCTCATCTTTGGGCCTATAGAAAGCAGTTCTGGTAAGACTAAGCTCATACTCTATTGGTTGGATCATCAGATGATTTATATTGATATTATTTTCCATCGATTTCCAGATCTGACCTTAGGTATCTTTGTCTTTTATATAGGATTTATTTTAGGATTAGTGTTAGAAAGGCCATGCTATCAGTTCATATTTAAACAGTTATTTGTAAACAGGTTATAAAAGTAAGTACTTTCCACAACTGTATATAATATTTTAACAGTCATCTACATAATGTAGATCAACTGTGTCAGGTATGATACCTTCTTATGAGTAGTAGTAAAGTTGTGGTCCAGTAAAAACAGTGCACAAAATAGCCTTGTAAAGTCTCAGCTTTTCCAAAGCCAAGAGTGAAGAAATAAAAAAAAAAGCCGCCATTGTTTCTAAACTAGATAGGCCTCTACTCTTTTTCCTTAACTCATTCATGTGGTCCCTGTGTTACACATTATTTAACAACAAACAACACTGATATACAAAATAACAGATTAGCAGGACATTGTTACTTTTATTTAAGGGACATACCGGATCAATCTGTGGGAAGTGTGAATGGCAATTTAGACCACAGGCTTTCACATATTTCAGTCCTAAACCACAGTGTATTCATGCTTTATAATGTTTGTGGTAAACATGGAAAAGAACTAGACATTAAACCAATACTTCTGTAAGAATTACAGAAAAATCACGAATGACAGTGGTTAGATGAACTAATTATCTTGGATTTTAAGCTTTAAGGGAATTGCATAGTAAAGGAATGAAATACGTACATAAAGGTATCTGCCTTGTCATATGGGCAGTTTTTTTCATTATGTGGTGGATATTCCTAAGGAGTTCTGCCAGGTTGAAAGATTTTTACTACAGAAATAGTTACATTTTTTAAATGGGAAATTCTGGCATAAGCTGAATCTTTCATTTGGATAGAACTTTCTAAGACCTGTGGATCAATGAAAAGTTATACAAAGTGAAAAGGGGGTGAAAACTTACTG